ATTTGATTGAAGCTGATATAGTTGAGAAATCGATTAAAAAGGTTTTATATGATTATTTAGTGCACATTAACATTAATATCTATGTCAACATCAGCTTTATCTTCCAAATTCGAAACATCGACATTTACATCTACTTTTTTATGGGGACGTGTATGGTTAGGCTTCACAGTTGTAGGCTCTGTTGTAGGATTCAGAGTTGTAGGCTCTGTTGTAGGATTCCAAGTTATATCAGTGGTTGGACCTTCTGGTGTTATTTCTTTTTTGGCAGCATTTGAAGTTTTCTCTTTGTAATGTGGATTGCATTCTTTAGAATCTATGTTGGAGTTTAATATTTTTAAGTAATCCACGCCAACCCTCACATCTTTATTTGCTTCGACCAATAAACGTACCTAGAATATGAGGTTAATTAATATATAGACACAAATAAAAGGCAGACACACACACTTATATTATTTTTTACTGAGAATTTTTCTCAATGCTAATTTTTTCTGCAAAAAAAATTTTTTTGTGAAAAACTATTCACCTCTAACCAATTTCGACCATTTTTATTTTACTCTTACAGAAAAATTTATATTTCTCACAAACCACTCAACAATCAAGTTAGTAGATGAATCATTTTACATCTTGCTCGCTGACAATTTATTTTTTTGCGAACGTTGTTGACTCTATGTAGATTGATTTGTAGCAAAAAACATATTTTTATTAACATATCAAAACAGTTTATTCGTGTTATACTTTTTACCGTTTTAATGCTTCGGAAATTTTTGTGGATATCCATGTATTTTTTAAAATATACAAGATTACTACTCAGAAGACAATATTTAAAAGAAGTGAGAACGAAGTCATTTTACATTCCAACTATTTCATTTGCAATATTCCAATTCAATTTGCAATGACTACTTATATAAGTCTAAAAACCCAAAAATGTCTTGGATTGGATTATACCATATGTTTTTTTTCTACGTACGCAACAAATAGGATAGAGCGGCGCTTAAAAGTCCGCGGGTAAAAAGGTCCACCACGTTTATCTCAAAAATAAGTGAAGTATGGTGTTTTAACAATATTATTTTAATATAAAGAACAAAAGATGCAAACAGCCGTAGCCTTAAATCGGACGACTTTGCTTTCACGAGATGAACGACTACATTTTAAAATATTACTGATATTATTTTTTTGCTGTTAATTTTTTTGGTTTTAAGAAATATATGTTTAGTTTTTAATGATAGAATATAATTTTTAAATATACATTATTTAATTGTTTAATAAGATGTGTTGTTATTAATTTTCCGTAGGGTAAGTTATAGTAATAGCAAAAAAACGAACATGAAATTTTTTATATATCTTTACGTTTCAGATGTTTCTGAACATTTTGGCATAGATGGATGTATGTGTGTGTGTGTGTGTGTGCGGATACAAATTTTCATAGACGATTTTGGAAACACGAATTAACCGATTTGAATAATTTAACTAGTGGTGTGTATGGCATCGTGCCATAAGGCAAATTGCTGGAACTTCCCGTACCGTAACAAAATGTTTGAGGAATATTAAATGTTTTCATATAGATTATTATAAATAAATACTGCAAGATTGTCTAATATTTATAAGAATTATATAAACGTAATTGCAAAGTTAAAAATATTTTAAAGTTTATTTTATTTTAAAGAACTTAAGTCAGAACTACAATAAGAATCTGAGTTATTTTCGATATACAACAAAAAAAACCTTCTTGAAAAAAAATTGAAAAAAAAATTATAACAAAATTTTTTTTCTCCAAAAGCAATTATTTTGTTAAAACAAGCAGAAAGTTCTTTGAATCATTCAAATTGAACACTTAGTTCTCTCAAAAACTACCAATTTATGCAAATTTAGCTCTGTATCTCTGAAACCGCAGGACCTGCCTTTGCCAAAAACTAATCAGCACATCTCCATATCAATAGAAATCAAATGTTTTTTGAACCATTCAAATCGGTTGATCCGTGCGCCCAAAAACGTGGACGAAAAATTATATTCACACACACACACATCCATTTTTTCTGATGTATGCCAAAATGTTCAGAAACCTTCAAAACGTAAAGAAATGTAAAAATTTTCAATTTTGATTTTTGGACGGTTACAATAACTTACCCTACGGGAAGTTAAAAGCATTCTATTCGTATTGATAAGGAGACGTACTGATTAGTTTTTGGCAAAGGCAGGTCAAGCTCTGTTCCAAAAATACGAGGCAAAAAGAGCCAATAATGGTAATTCAGTTTTTGAGAGAACGGAGCGTCCTATTTGAATGAAAAAAATTAAAAAACATTTTATTATGTATTGACTGACGAACTAAAAAACTGATAAAATTTGGGAAAGGCAGGTCTAGCGGTTTCGGAAATCTAATAAAAAAGGCAAAGAATCATTTGGCTAACAAAAATGATCATTAGACATATGCACATCAAATTGTCAGATATTATATAGCTATTTTAACAATAAGAACAAATTTATTTACATTTTTAAGACTTCCGCAATAATGTTTATCCGTAAGAATACGACGCGGCGTTTACGCGCTTCGACAATTCATTTCTACGCACCCGACGTATCGCGATTGCTTTAGATAAAAGTTCAAAATTTCCAAAATATTTCAAAGTATAAAATTTTTCTTTTCAATAATGTTGATTTTTATCAAAAAAATTATAATTCTCAAAAATCTATTTTTTTGCAAAGTTCTAAAAATATGAATCTTGTTTAAAAAAATGTTATTACGGGTAAGTTCCAGCAATTTGCTGAATGTAATGTATATTTGTATCATGCATGAAATTATAATAATCATAATAATCTTACTCACCAATAAAATTCCTTTCTTTGTTATTTCCACTTCCAAACTTCGCCAATTTTTAGCAGCATTGTTATGTCTTATATATTTCTCGTCAATCCGATTTCCATCCAGATTTAACTGAAGTACTAGCTGTCCATGAGCAGATTTCTTCAACTGATCAAGATAATATCCCAAAACAACGTACGAAAATTCATCAACTTCATAAAAATCAGTTTCTACACACACATCAGTCCCATTACCAGTTGGTCTTCCAATATAATTTGTGGTTTTGTTGTCTCTAGATCGAAATCCATCCACTTGGTCGAATTTTAAAACTGCCCAAGGCGGAAAACGAGAAAGTGGAGTCGTACATTTTTTCAAATGCAGATTTCCATCGTTGAAGTTTATGTTTGGACAATCTATTGCTAAAATAGCTTCGAAAATTAAAATATTTATTATGAATATCAAAAAAAACTTCATATTTATTCCGAGTTTTTCAATTTAATAGTTTTTAGATATCCGTTTTAGATAAATCGCGGAAGGACATTCAGTATGGTAACAACTATGTGATAAGATTTGAAAATACAAATACTAAGCGAGAAATACTAATACTTGATATAAATTAAAATATAGGGGAGCCAAGGGCTTTATGTAACAGAGATAAGTAGCAATAGACGTTGTTTAATAAAATCTTAAACGATTAAAATATTTTTAACTTTCAGTAGGGTAAGTTATAATATTCGCAAAAATTTGAGAAGAAAAATTCTTTGCATATCTTTACGTTTCAAGGGTATCTGAAGATTTTGACATACCTTAGAAAAATGTATGTATGTAGGTGTATGCTTGGATACAATTTTTTGTCCACGATTTTGGGCGCATGGATCAACCGATTTGAATTATGAAAAAAAAATTCGATTCCTACTGATGGGAAGGAGTGCTGATTAATTTTTGGCAAAGGCAAGTCTGGCAATTTCGAAGAAAAGGGGCAGAAAGTGTCAAAAATCGTAATTCAGTTTTTGAGATAACGCAGCGCCCAATTCGAATGATTCAAAAAGCAATTTCAAAATTAAAAAAAATACAAATGAATTTTTGGGAAGAAAGGTCTATCGGTTTTGGAGATAAAAAAAAAACATATTGGGCGGTCTAAAATGATCATTAGACGTATGCACATCAAATTATCAGATATTTTATAGATATTTCAAACATTAGAACTAATTTTGTTATAATGTTTTTGGATTCCGTAACAAGATTTTTAAATTTTAAAGTTCACTTATACGGTTCAAACAAATTTCAAAACTTTTCCGATTTTTTTTTCAAAATGTTCAAAAATATACAAAGTTTTATACTTTAAATATAAATTTTAAATTTACAATTCAGTTTAAAAATGTATATATTTTATATGCGTTATTATAATCGTAGGAAATATTTTCTCAGACGGATTCATTCGGTATCTCTTCTTAATTTAAACTTTTTTAAATGTTTTGAGAGATAAGATTATCACTGCATATGATATGAACGAATAAATATATAGTAATTATAATTATCTCTTCGAGAATATATTGTTATTAATCATTAATTAATATTTATTGATTATTATTTTTTTGCTCGAATATTTAATTGTGTTCCGGGAAGTTCCAGTAATTTGCCTTAAGGCACGATGCCATGCACCACTAGTTTTGACTCGATGACATGTCCTGCATGAGCAGAAATGAGCAGAATGTTTTTTGAATCAATCAAATCGAATGCTCCGTTCTCTCAAAAACTCAATCTGCACTCTTTGCTCCGTATCTCCTTAACGGCCAGACCTGTCTTTGTCAAAAGCTAATCAGCACATCTCCCTATCAATAGGAATCGAATGTTACTTGAATCATTCAAATCGGTTAATCCGTGCACCCAAAAACGTACACAAAAAATTTGCAGCTTGCATTAAAGCAAAAGGCCACTTACAACTATGTAATTCATTTACAATGAATAAAAAATAATTCAATTAAATTTTATCACAAACTATTGCGCATATTCTAGATATTAATCTCTTCATTAAAATCGCCGCTCGTGTCGCTAAATGAACATTGGAAATCGATTTTGACGCTTATCTGACTGATAAAAAATTATTAAATCTTAAAATCAGTCTATTTATTACTGTAATTAGTAATAATCTGGCAATCAATCAGACAGTTATTTAAAAAGTAAATGTTTCTCAAAATAAACTATGCGATTTTTACTCGCCATAATTGTTTTATTAGCAAGTGCTATTTTTGAAATAACTTCAGCTGTACAGTGCGGAGACATAAATTTCAATGATGGTCAGTTGCATTTAGAACAGTGTACTGGTTCAGTAAATTGGATGCCTCCTTGGGCAGTTCTGGCTTTCGAAGACGAAGCAGATTTTGAACCACGAAATGAAAAAACTAGCCACTATATTGCTAAACCTTCAGGCAGCAGGGCACATGTCTGCGGTGAAACGGAATCTTTTGAGGCCGACGAATATTCTTACGTTTTAGTAGGATTTTATGTTGAAAAAGAAACTCCAGAAGGATACGGTAATCTCATTCTTGAAATTTTCATCGATGGTGATAAGACAATCGAGAATAAAATACCATATACAATTACGGCAAAGGAATGGAGAGAAGAAAAAATAAAAGTGACTAAAAGTGGTTCACTAAAGGTAAATAAATTTGTTATGCTATAGACTTTTATATACAGGGCCGGTCCTACCTTGCATGCAATGCGTGCAAAAAATGCGGGCGCATGCCTTAGGGGGCGCCAAAACGAGTTTTGGAAATTAAGTTTATAATATATTATTTATATTTTTATTATTTATATAAAATCTAGAATACTTTATAAATTATAATAAACAATCTAACTTAAGAATGGACACACGGAGACACAATTAAAAAGCATATTTATTTTGCAATGTGATCAGTAGAAACAATTAATCAATTAATAACTCTACAAAATAGTGAATAACAGCTCTGGTTGTTGATTGATCTACTTATTCTATTTTTGATTTATTCTAAGGTAACGTCAAATCAAAAAAAAAATTATTTAGTGTTCAATCCCATAAGCGCAAACCTGCGAAAGATTAAATTAATTATTGCGCATTATTGACAAAAAATTGCAAGCTGATTTAGTTGAAACAGAACTAGTTAAAAATATGAATAAATTATAATCGGGAAAATGAAAAATGGGGAGCCAGTGCTCAGAAAATGGCATGTTTATTCCGAGAAATTGAATTGTAACTCTTGTTTTTCTTGCAAATGTTTTGCTTCTGATGAACTGAATTGAATGTCAAAGATATGCGTGCTTAGAGTTATGGAAATGAAACAAATATGAAAAATGGAAGCAAAATTTACTGTGGAACAAAAATCTTGAGGCTTTTCTAATATTGAGTAGTGTCTATACTCTAAATTTAATAATTTAACACTATTCCTACCGACATATCACGTTTGCTATTCCTACCGCGACCGGTCATGCAAAATCTATATTTTTCAGTATTGAATGAAGAGTTAATGCTAGTTTAAGAGTTTATAAATACAAATACAAAATATTTCTTTTATTTTAGAATGCGAAATCTACATTTTATACTGTTTTATCCAATTATTTACGATTTTTTTCTTAGAGTGTATTTTCTGCACACGCATTTTTTACGTTTTTGTCTGATTTTGTTCGCCCTATCATTTTTCTAAAGATATATCTGGAATATTTTCTTTTAGGGAATCTGTTTTGTACTTGTATTTAGTTGATTTTTTTCTGAATTCTTGTTGCAACTATACGGCAAGTTAATTGGAATAGAAAGTTCCTGCCTTGTACATCGTGTTCCCGTGATTTCTTTATGTGACAACAATAGATTTATCCTGAATAAATACAAAATAATGTAAATCCTTGATAAATTCTCTCTAAAATTCATATTTTACCGAATTATTTCTGACATATTAGTGTAATTTTTTCAGCATATGTGTATGTAAGTGAAAATTAGAACCTTCTTTCTTAGTTTCCAAAATTGTAAATATTATTTGAGTGATGAAGTCCTTGATTTTTAATTCTGCGAGTATTTATAGCTGTTATATTGCTTCAATTGCACCTACCATCACAGTTTTTTTTACTAAAAGTTTACCTATATGTAGGATGGTAAAAACGTTATATATTTTTTACATCGTACTAGCGATTTTGATATTACGGTTTCATTGGTTATAAATCTTCAATGAAATTCTCAGTTTGTTACGTATACTGGATGGTTACCAAAATTTTACACCCCATTTGTGCGTTTTGTTGGGTATAATTATATTTACATTGTATCTTGAACGGTTACTAAAATTTATACGCTTTCCTGAATATTATTGAACATGTGTTGAATAAATTTACACCTTACCTTTATTGAAAATATATGTTTGACGATAGTAATACGTAGTCTTTTACAACAATTTTGATTGCTGTCAATGTAGTTGAACCAACCTTTGGATTCAAAACAAAACTTACCAATTTGTTGTTTGGATTTCTTCGTAAAAATCTGTCTACACATAGCCATTGAGCAAGAATGAGAAAACCCACTTTTTATACCGTAGAAGTGCAATATTTATACTCCTTGCCTCATTTGCGCAGCGTGCATACAGAATAAAAAAAATGCATATAAATTTGCAAAAGGCAGTTTTCACTACTCTAAATTCCTCTGAATTTATTTTTTTGTAAGTTCGATCATATTCTTAACAATTACTACAAAAAGCTCCGTCCGAACATCGTCTTTCGTACTACCGGTCAAATGACCGGTCGCGGTAGATAATTTTTTTTCCAAAAATAAAAATTGAAAAAACAAATTAACATTGAAAAATGTATCATACTCACATATTAGGAAAGTCATAAAGTTTGATGACGATTCCATCACGTTTGATATGAAAAATACTAATCGGAAAATTAAAAACGGTCATTTGACCGGTCCAGGTAGGAATAGTGTTAACTATGCAAAAATAATACATACCAAATATAATTAGTTATTTTTTCAATATAGTTCAAGAAATGTGTACTTTCTTTGCATTTTCTACTGATTTTTGAACAATACTTTTAAAATACGTTAAAAATTTAACTTTAAAACAACAAACTGATTCTCTGAATATGACGAGAAAGCAATGATAAATACAATTCGGCTTTTACGATATCAATAAGGAAAAGTTTACGACGCAATTTTGGATATTGTAAATGATGAAAAATTAAATTAAATTAAATTTTAAAAAATCCAACATGAAATACGAGTGTTATGAGTTCTAGTTTTTTTTAAGCTCTCTTAGCATGATTTGCTCAATAGAATAAATCGCACAATAAACAAGTGAAATGTTTTAAAACAAATATTAATATTGTACATACGTTGAAAATAATTGAAAATTTGAAAATATTAGATTACAATTAACACGCGAATCGCCTCGATTTTCTAAATAAATTTAAAATCAATGTATTTTATACGCTTTTAGATTATATCTAATTTTTCCGCACTAAATCCAGAATGATTAAAAATTAATTTTTAAAAAATATGTAAATATTTATATAATTTAAATGATAAACTATTAAAACAGGACAAATTAATGGGCGGGGGGCGCTAGAAAAAAAGTTGCATGCGGGCGCTAAGGGCCCCAGGACCGGCCCTGTATATATATATATATAACTGTAGGGTGGCGTAACTGTAGGGTGGCATAGGTGTCAAAATGCAACGGGCCCCCGAACCAAGCGGGTCCCGGCCGAGGAAGCCGCGGGCTCAGAAATATATTTTAAATTGTACATATATTTTATTTCACTTTAAACCAATATTTTATATTTTTTAAATTCTCCTTAAAGTTTAAAGTCGGAGTTAGTCATTAAGCGTTTCAACCAGGCTTGCATGAAAAATGAATGAATGAATTCATTATTGCATATAAAATAATTTAAACTTATAACCGAATATGTGAAGAACTCATTTCTCAATATTCAAAGAATACATTATTGTGATGTATGTATATACAATGAAGTCATTCATTGTATTCAATCTAAGCATCTACTAAATAACGTGCTATCTCAGGCATTTTATCGCAGAAAATTCAAACACTATTTTTCGTTTTGAAAATTAAATGTTACTTTCAGAAGCAGATTATATTTCCGTGACTTGTCACATGTAGACATTCATAATCATAATAGTTTTCCAAGTCTCCTTCTTAATTTTATTTGCTATAATCGGTATTTTGCTGATTATACTATTTATTGCAAGGTTTCTTCAGATTTAATATAAAAATATGGAATAGTTCATTAAGATTCAAATCTATTAACGAGAGTGTGTCATCAATTTCAATAACATTAACAATATTTATGCCTACTAGATGTGCAGGACATCTCGAAGCCATTGTTGCTTTAAAAATTCGTTTTGTTGAAATTCAAAATGAAACTATTTTACATAAAAAGAAGTTTGCAAACTACAACTATGTTCTCATTGGTTTCCATTGTAATATTCTACTACTATCGCAGCATCTAAAGTTCGATAATCTAAAATCACCGATCTTACAATGGTATAAAGTATAAACATTTACAAATTTGTTAAGAATTTGAAAAGTATTGGCATGACTTTGGAAATTTAAAATTAGAAGCAAAGAGTGTAGCAGAAAAATGATTTATGAAACATAATTTTTTTAACAGTTTTCAGAGGAAGGTAATACGCTATTTTGATAAGCTTTGCGAATTCATCTTCAAGATTCTGAAAGCTTGTGTAAAGTAAATATACATATTTTATTGAAAATTGGACATTATTATTAAACAAATTAAAATGCTTTTCTTCCGATGAATTAATATGTTTCGAATTTCAGTGTTTTGCTGCAATAGAAGTTTTCAATGATACTGATCCATTCAATAAAAGCACTAAAACTTGTTCAGATAAGAAAGACATAGTTAGAAGATATGTCTTTTTAAAAAATCTGAATGGCTTGAAACTTGAGAATTCATAAAATTACTGAATCGGATTTTTTACGAAAACATAAACTTTTTCTTTGGGAAGTTAACAAATGTTCACTCTAGATAAATAATAAATATGATTTTTTTCCTTTACAGGTACGCTTAACTCTAGAAACAAATGATAATATAAAGGCAGGCATTGACTACGTTAGGATATATAATACAAAAAGCAATATTGATGAATGTATGTTGCAATTAGACACAACTACAAATATGCCAACTACGACTATTCGTGCACCAATCACAACTACGGAACCAAGAGCTACAACTGACACAACACCGATTACAAGTAAACAATCCTTGACTACAAGTGAACCACTCTCGACTACAAACGAGCAAAACTTCACTATTAGTAAATCGCCCTCGACTACAAGTGAACAACCCTTCACTACAACTAATTTACCCTCGACTACGAATGACTCGTCTTCTACTACAAGTGAACAACCCTTCACTACAACTAAAACACCTTCGACTACAAATGACCCGTCTTCCACTACAAGTGACCAACCCCCTACCACAACTAAATTACCCTTGATTACAAATGACCCGTCTTCCAATACAAGTGAGCCACCCACTACTACAAGTAAACAACCCTCCACTACAACTAAATTACCCTCGACTACGAATGACCCGCCTTCCACTACAAGTGAACAAACCTTCACTACAACTAAATTACCCTCGACTACAAAAGACCCGTCTTCCACCACAAGTGAGCCACCCACTACTACAAGTGAACAACCCTTCACTACAACTAAATTACCCTCGACTACAAATGACCCGTCTTTCACTACAAGTGAACAACCCTTCACTACAACTAAATTACACTCGACTACAAATAACCGTCTTCCTCTACAAGTGAGTCACCCAATACTATAAGTGAACAACTCTTCACTACAACTAAATTACCCTTGACTAAAATTGATCCGTCTTCCACTACAAGTGAGCTACCCACTACTACAAGTAAACAACCCTTGACTACAACTAAATTGCCCTCGACTACGAATGACCCGTCTTCCACTACAAGTGAACAACCCTACACTACAACTAAATTACCCTCGACTACGAATGACCCGTCCTCCACTACAAGTGAGCCACCCACTACTGCAAGTGAACAACCCTTCACTACAACTAAATTACCTTCGACTACAAATGACCCGTCTTCCAATACAAGTGAACAACCCTTCACTACAACTAAATTACCCTCGACTACAAATGACCCGTCCTCCACTACAAGTGAGCCACCCACTACTACAAGTGAACGACCCTTCACTACAACTAAATTACCCTCGACTACGAATGACCCGTCTTCCACTACAAGTGAACAAACCTTCACTACAACTAAATTACCCTTGACTACAAATGACCCGTCTTCACTACAAGTGAGCCACCCACTACTACAAGTAAACAACCCTTCACTACAACTAAATTGCCCTCGACTACGAATGACCCGTCTCCCACTACAAGTGAACAACCCTTCACTACAACTAAATTACCCTCGACTACGAATGACCCGTCTTCCACTACAAGTGAGCCACCCACTACTACAAATGAGCCACCCACTACTACAAGTGAACGACCCTTCACTACAACTAAATTACCCTCGACTACGAATGACCCGTCTTCCACTACAAGTGAACAAACCTTCACTACAACTAAATTACCCTCGACTACAAATGACCCGTCTTCCACTACAAGTGAGCCGCCCACTACTACAAGTGAACAACCCTTCACTACAACTAAATTACCCTCGACTACGAATGACCCGTCTTCCACTACAAGTGAACAAACCTTCACTACAACTAAATTACCCTCGACTACAAATGACCCGTCTTCCACTACAAGTGAGCCGCCCACTACTACAAGCGAACAACCCTTCACTACAATTAAATTACCCTCGACTACGAATGACCCGTTTTTCACTACAAGTGAACAAACCTTCACTACAACTAAATTACCCTCGACTACAAATGACCCGTCTTCCACTACAAGTGAGCCACCCACTACTACAAGTGAACAACCCTTCACTACAACTAAATTACCCTCGACTACAATTGACCCGACTTCCACTACAAATGAACAACCCTTCACTACAACTAAATTACACTCGACTACAAATTACCCGTCTTCCAAAACAAGTGAACAACCCTTCACTACAACTGAATTACCCTCGACTACGAATGACCCGTCTTTCACTACAAGTGAACAACCCTTCACTACAACTAAATTATCCTCGACTACAAATGATCCGTCTTCCACTACAAGTGAGCCACCCACTTCCACAACTAAATTACCCTCGACTACAAATGACCCGTCTACCACTACAAGTGAACCACCCACTACTACAAGTGAACAACCCTTCACTACAACTAAATTACCTTCGATCACAAATGACCCGTCTTCCACTACAAGTGAACAACCCTTCACTACAACTGAATTACCCTCGACTACGAATGACCCGTCTTTCACTACAAGTGAGCCACCCACTACTACAAATGAGCCACCCACTACTACAAGTGAACGACCCTTCACTACAACTAAATTACCCTCGACTACGAATGACCCGTCTTCCACTACAAGTAAACAAACCTTCACTACAACTAAATTACCCTCGACTACAAATGACCCGTCTTCCACTACAAGTGAGCCGCCCACTAATACAAGTGAACAACCCTTCACTACAACTAAATTACCCTCGACTACAAATTACCCGTCTTCCACTACAAGTGAACAACCCTTCACTACAACTGATTTACCCTCGACTACAAATGACCCGTCTTCCACTACAAGTGAGCCGCCCACTACTACAAGTGAACAACCCTTCACTACAACTAAATTACCTTCGATCACAAATGACCCGTCTTCCACTACAAGTGAACAACCCTTCACTATAACTGAATTACCCTTGACTACGAATGACCCGTCTTTCACTACAAGTGAACAACCTTTCACTACAACTAAATTACCCTCGACTACGAATGACCCGTCTTCCACTACAAGTGAGCCACCCACTACTACAAATGAGCCACCCACTACTACAAGTGAACGACCCTTCACTACAACTAAATTACCCTCGACTACGAATGACCCGTCTTCCACTACAAGTGAGCCACCCACTACTACAAATGAGCCACCCACTACTACAAGTGAACGACCCTTCACTACAACTAAATTACCCTCGACTAATGACCCGTCTTCCACTACAAGTGAGCCACCCACTACTACAAGTAAACAACCCTTCACTACAACTAAATTGCCCTCGACTACGAATGACCCGTCTTCCACTACAAGTGAAAA